ACATTCCAAATTTCCAATTGTTCTGTTTTCATGTGCTCTTCAGCAATCTCCCCAAACAATGAGCTAATACACAGTGTGGTACTAATAGGGAACTACATGGCATACCATCATGCAGAAGCAATCCCACCAATCAGCAATCACAAGGCGTATCATTCCAAGAACTATGTGGGAAAAGTCCGCATAGATCTCTGGCAAGCATACAGTGTGTATTAGCTCTGTGCATAGGGAGCTGTTAGTGACCATTTGCTAAGGTATGGTCCGTAAAGAAATGAGTGTGCTTCACAACATGTGGAGCATTGTTCTGAACCTTCCTTTCATTCAGTGTATCACCTTATGTAAATAAATGAGACAGAAACTGTTTTAACTGATGATATTTTATTATATGGTGAATAATGTTTTGTGCTAAAAAAAAAAGTACAGCATACTGATTGTAAGCGTACTTATGAATCAGAAGATTGTTGTTGTGAATAAAGTGGTCTGGGTGGTGTTATTTTTAATTTCTTTGCAATAAGTTTTCCATTATCGCAACATTTACAAATTTACCAATTCTGATTGTCGTCCAATTATTCAATAATCGACCCAATTCCAATTGCCAAACTGATTATCAGTAAAACAGTGGCTACAATGGCAGAAGAAGCATTCTTTGAGAATTTTGGCAATATCCTGTAGAAATTCCACTTTTTGCCAACTAGGTTGCAAGACTTAAAAATGGGATGCATATTTGACATTTATCTTTTGAATTTTGTTCCAAATGATTGAGGAGCTAGTGGTGGAAAAAGATGCTAAAAAATGAAGTTAATCCAGGATTCCTTCTGGCTTTGAGCATTGGTTTGCCAAGCAGGAGCACTAACCATTTGAAAGGCTGTGCTGTTGGTAAAAGTAAGGTAACTGCAAAACAAATCATAGACTTGTTTCTGGGTCCATGGTGCCTTTTGGTAGTCAAATGTTTTAAGACACCATGGAAAATGAGTAGAAGTGTTAGATATGGTAAGAACAGCTGCCAGGATAATACAATCAGTAACTGCCTACATACAGTTATTAACAGATGGAAGGTTAAAAAGTTAAAAAAGAGTAGTGAATTAGGGCTATTTGGTACTCTCCAGCTTCCACTGTGGCACACGAGTTAGATGGCATCCACTATGGGTAATCTCTCACAGAATGATGGCAAACGATCACTGACACAAATTATTAACCACCTCTCATGAAAAAGAAAAAGGTGAGAAGTGAATAAATGGATGAATCAATGGCAGTAAAAGTCTTATTATGGACATGAAATTATATATTCTCCAGTATTGAAGAAAGAAAGGTTGCCAACTGACAGCAAACACTTCACAGATCAACACCTCCCATCAATCTTTCCATTATCCCAGAGCAAATTGTGTCCATTTAAATCTCACAGGATGATTATAATCAATTATCTTTCCCGGTAATAGGTAGAGAACATAGAATGATGGTATGTCCAATGGAAACATTGACAACAATGGCTTCCAGAGGTTTAGTAAGTTTTACAGTCATGGAGGGTACATGCTGGTCAACCAGCAATGCTACTACTCAATGAGCCCATCAATCACATAACCTGTCCTTTATGAATAAAGAAAACTGCTGAAAGGTGGCAATATCAGGTGTTCTCAGCAAAGTATCCTGTGATAAGATACATACAGGAGAGTAAGAATAAATCAATACCTTGATGTCATATAAATCAGTACATAAGCCTCGACACTTCCAGGGTATCGAAATTACCATTTTCATCTAAATTGTTGAGAAGTTCTAGATGGAGAGCTCTTTTGTTTTGATTTTTTACTACCTTTTACTTTAATATTATAAATAAGGGATCTATCAATCTCCATGGACTCTATTCTGGATTGAATGGGCAGGACTCCATCAAATGGATGGGATTCTGGCAAGGGTGGGACAGAATAATTGTCCTGTATATTATGGACAATGAGAATGGTCCTAAATATCATTGGCAGAAACAGAGATATGGGTATATGTTGAATTATCCACCTATTTGTCCATGAAGGATAAGAGAATTTTTAAATGGTTGAATAAAGACTCTGGAGGTGGAATGGAGACATTGTCTGCATACCCACTATAACAGTGGAACAGTGTGCAGCAACATAACTCCCTCTTGGAAAATAATACACCATATTCCTTGCCTTGGGATGTGAGATGCTAAGCAAGGTTCTTTAAGCTCTGTACCTCTTTCTTAATCTATTTAGTGCATGATCTAAGGTATGAGGAGTGAGAACCATAGCAGCTGACAAAGTGTGAATCTGACAATTGTAGCCATTCATGAATTTTGCCACTACAATGAGCAAAGGTTAAAAAAAAACAATAAGTTGTTTTGCAGTTCAAATAACTTACATTGGCATGTGGGTTTGAAGATGTAAATATTAAAATAAGAACCCTTGTCACCTCAAATATTCCATTTACAAAAGTGAATTACCTGATAGGAAGAATCTCTAAGTAGGTGATATTAAGAAGATACCTCTTGACAGTAACTCACTCTGAAGAATTTAAAGTGCTGTGGAAGGTTACCTTATAGCTGATTCCAATGCCTTTAGCTTCAAGAAGAATTCACTGTCCTGTGATTGTGAGGTTTCAACCAATAAGTCCCCAGATCTTAATTCCTTTACCAACTTTGGTGAGCCAGCAAGACCCTCTAAGCTCTGTCAGATGGAAAAATGGATGTGCCTTAGAAAGATGCGTTTCTGATAATGAATGCAAAATCAAATATTGAAGTAGAGGAATGATAAAAAATGGCTATTATGTGCCTACAGTCTTCTATACATAGTTGTTTACTGGTTATATTTTTCTTGATACTTGAAAATCCACAAGAAATATTTGGTGTTCACTGACCTCAACCACCAGGAAATCATACAAGGGTTGCTGAACTGTCAAAAGTTCAAACACTGAGGACAAAGCAGAAATGCCAGGGTTCCACGGGCATTATATCTAAACATTGGTATAAGAACTATTGTCTATGACAAATATTGAAGATGCCCAATTTTGGCACTCAATTGACTCTAGTTACAACTATGCAGCCAATTGATTCTGCCAATCTAGGGCTTCCCATCCAAAAGAAATCAATAATAAAGTAGTGTTTTGCAGTGACCAGTCACCACATAACTACTAGTAACTGGTCTACCATCAAACAAATAAGTGAATGTTTGCATCCCAAAAAAGGTATGTAGCCTTAGCAAAACTTTCAGTGTGATCCTCTCACCATGAATAGGAATTGGCACAAGGAGAAATTACAGAGAAAACAAGCTTAACTACACTAAAAAATGATCAAAGATATTACTGACTTTGCATATGTCAAAATAAAATAAAATATTTTATTATTATTTCCTGATAGCTAACTCCAGCAAACTTTAGTTATCTTTGCTTCCTGAAATCTAAACATACATTACATTTGGCAATTTAAAGGAATGTGGTCTGACATAAGATCAAATTCTTAAATGTTAACAGTTAACTAATATTTTGAAGAAGCAAACCACTTTAGTTGTAGAAGTATGAATTGATAAGGTATACAACCTGACAGCATTTTGACTGAACACCTTCAATTTACATTGCAGGAGATCTTGCACATACTTGTCAAGTGACATTTAGGCCCCACCTCAAACAACAGAACCACAACAAAGTATGGCCAATAAATGGAAATGAAAGGGCACAAATGTTTGCATGTGAAATGTGCAACAAATTCAAAAGCCAAGTGGGCTACAGAGGGCAGATAATACAACAGGAAACAAAATAATATTAAATGGGCAAAGTGAGAAAGGGAAGCAGAAAAACAAACTAAAGACAGATGAGTGGTGAATGTTGGAGACTTTGACCATGTGTTAGATATAGGATCTAAGTAGTAAATGACAACTGTAATATAATTAATGCTTGATTAAATGCATGCACATGTAGAAATAAAAGACCTGTAAGGCAATTCCTACTAATCAGTCTAGTTGGTAGTAGTTGATTAAACAATTCTCTTCTTGATTCAGTGGGTTATCATCAATCAATAAATACATGGAAAAAATTAAAACTACACCAATATTACATTTTCAGACAAAAGAGCAAAAGTAAACTTCATTAAAATCCATCACATCTTGCAGTTCAGTTGGCTGGTACAGAAGCCACAAGCACAACCATAAAATGCAGCAGCTTGTCCAACTATTTTGCTATATTAACACTCTTAACAAAAAAAAAAAATAGCTTTACTTGATCTACATGGCTATCATTTTGTCAGGAAAATATAGATGAGTTTTAAACAGTGTGTAAATACACTCAATTCAAACCTTATGCTCTCAGACTTTTTAGCATAAATCTGAATCTCTATCACACATAATGTGATGAATATAAATAAATAAAACACATTCCACCTCTGCTGCAGTGCACCTTAGAAATAGTCCACTATATTTCTTCAAAACTACATCATTTTCTGCAAGTGTTTTACATGATAAGTCAGACTGTATTGCATTAAGTTGAATAATGAATATACTTTTTCTCTATGAATATATTTTATAATTTATATCTCATATTTTCTGCTTTCTCCTCTTACTATTCCAAATTAATTTCATCTTTTTACTCAATATTAAGGAAATGTATTAAAATGACAAAAGATGTAATTATCTGTATTATGTCAGATGTCAAAGTGATCTGTTAACAGAAATCTAAGTTTAATATAGCTTCATAATGAATAGTGTTATATTACATATATAACAAACCAAGAAATCCCACATATGTAGTTTGTTTAGCTGTAGTCTATCACCACAAAGAACATACAAGTATGTAGCATAATGCTTTTTCATTATCACAACCCTTTTCTACATGTAGTTACTTTTTATACATATACTTTTTGCTCATACCCAACACCATTTTACTCAACTAAATATTAAGACAAATACAAAATTACCTCTTTCTAATACCAGATAAATATTGTGTCTTATTCACTTTAATGCAAGAATACTACTTAATTATTATGACAGGAAAACAGTTTATGATCTCACCATTACAGGTAACTCTCGTAAACAAATCTCACATTCTTCTGTCATTACAACTCCCGATCTTGTTGCTCTTTGCTAAATTAACATAAAAATATTAAATTGTATTAAACCAACTGTCATGTTTAGTAAAGAACAGAATCTGGTAAAACAAGTTTTGCTGAGAACAACTAATTAAACTTCAGAAATATCTGTTTCATAATTAAGATGTTAAGTCCAGTTTGATTGATCCCTTGTTACTAGTGATCTCAGGGCTTAGTGTCTGAGCCTTTGTTTTATTTATATTAATATGATATGATGGGTGGACATAATTAGCAAATTAGTAAAGTTTGCTGAGGACATTTAATGTTCAGAGATTTCTAGCTATATTGAGGATGTTTAGGTATTACAGAATGACTTGGATAAGTTGGCAAGTCAGAAAAATAATTGGAAAATGGCCTTTAAGTATAGTAAATGCAAGGTAAAACATACGAGTTCTCATACTTTGAATCACATTTTTAATACAGATAAGAAATCACTGAAGAAAAGGATCTGGGCATAGCAGTAGAGAGGTTACTCAAACCACTGGGGCAAATCTCTGCTGCTACAAGCAAAACTAATAGAATATTAGGAATTTAAATTCCAGTAATGGAAGAGTTATTATCTTATGGAAATAGGTTTATGTCATATTTCTCTTGAGTAAAGAAGGGTAAGAGTGATCTTATTGAAGTTTACAATAAAATAAAAGCCTCTGATTTCTTTGTGCTGTATTCTGAAGACAAAACAATGAAATGACACTAGTTTGAGACTACACTGAAGTTCAGACAGTTTTGGTTTTCTAACAGGATGATTGGCTTATGAAATGACTTACTGTCAGCAGTAGTAGAAGCCAGGACTTAAAATAATCTCAAATTGGAATAGATGGTTTCCAGAGAAATAAATGGTGGATTTAGACTGTCAATGCAAGGCTTTGCTGTTCTTAATGTTACATTATGATATTAAACATGGTCCACCTGTTCAAAATTTACAAACATTTAAACTCAGAATCTAATATTGTTTCCTATAAATTTTTAAATAAAGTGCATGTATGTGGCAAATAATTTCTTGTATTTACTTTAACTCTTTCAACCCAGGCTCAGTCCCTGGGACCAACCTTGTAACCATTTTGTGCTTGTTATAGTTTTCATGATATAACTATAACTATAGTGAATGTTAACGAAATTTGGCATTTTATCAGTAAACATTACAATGCTTTCATATGCAAAATATCTAATTTTTTTTA